GTTTCACGTGGCGTCATATTACGTGGAATGCCAGTGCTCCGATAAATCGAATCTCCCGCATTGGCCATGCTGTCGAAATCGGTGCGCATGTTGCTGTAAGGGATACAACAAAATATTAGCATCAAATTTCCGTACATGCAATTTCTATATAATGCAGATATAGGCGAGAAGAATTGTTAATTGATATCGTGATTGGATATAAGACTGAGTTTCATAAAGACATCTACAAAAACGAAAAAGCTTTTTATAGGATATACATATATACCCAAAGGTGTCGTAGATTCCTGCTGGAACTTATATTAGCCTTCAATATTAATAGAGGGATATTAATTCTACAGCACGTACTTGAAATAATTGTTGAGCGCATTGAAGAAATGATCCCAGCTGACGGCATAGGTGGACGACAAGTTCTGCGAATTCTTGAGCAGATTGAAGGCGCAACGTGCCGCAAATTCGGTGCGTGTTAAGCCAGCAATCATCTTCAAGTACGATCTGAACAGAGTTTGCGGCAGCAGCTCGCTGGCCAAGCGTATAAACTTGAACAGTGAGACGGCGCGTGAGGTATTTTGGACATAGTTGGCGACACCGTTGGCTGTTGTTGTATCCGTTGGACCCCAATATTCGTTGCATAGCGTAATGGTGGCACGCTTATCGCCATACAACTTGGCCACGCACAGCATCAGCAGCTCAAAGTTGACATCCAGATTTGGCGGCGGTTCGAGCCCTTCATTCTGAAAACTAATCACCGTGCGCGCTGTCTCATCCGCACGACCGCGCAGCTCCGATACCTTAGCATGCATAAAATCTATAAAATCCGTGATGAGCAGGTGTAGGCGGCGATAAATGAATTCGGTTCTGCAATGTATTATAATTTTGACAATTTCAATAGTTAATCCAATAATTAACTGCATTCCAGAACTCACGTATAGACCACATTCTTCTCCAGTAGCTGGCGATAGAAAAAGGTAAAAACATTTGCCGCCAGCGCCTCGTCAATAAGCTGCTCATCCCGATTGATAAGAGCGCCAGCATTGGCCTGCAGCTCGCTTGGCGCCTGTCGCAGACTGGCCAATGTCAAACCAAAGCTATACTTGATAATGGCATCCAGATGCTGCGTCTGCCAGCTGTTCTGCGCATAGATTGCCTCATAGAAACACTTGGCATAATCCGGATCACTCAGTATGGGCAGGCGTGCCGTATGCGGACTATCGCATTCGGTTATCAGCAGCACGGATGTATCGTAGGCATACAACAATGCCATCAGCATGATTAGGGTTACGTCGTCCATGTTGCCGGCGGCATCGGTTGACTTCGTATTGGCCAAATGCTGCAGCAAACGTATGGCAATGTTTTTGGGCAGGCCACGCTGAGCGGACCAATGGAATAGGGCCATGGCCAAGGCTTTGCGTGTGTCCTCATAGAGGGCCAGAACCTGATTCTGATGCTTCTTTGAGCCAAAGGCGCGATTTTTGGTCAGTAAACTAATCTGTGTAAGTGTGTTTGTTGTTTAGCCATTGATGTAGAGTCTAATATTGGAAAGCATATCATATTTACCTCCCTCTCCATGTCCATTTCAGCCAGCAGTTCCAGCAGACGCCCGAGTATGTTGGAATCTTCTACCAGATTCTGGCAGTAGTTGTTGATCAAGGCGGTCATCTGCAATAAATTATGATACATTATGTATATAAATATATATACGTTGATATACTGCTTACCTCTCTGGGCAGTTCGGTGCTCCAGGAAACGCCGCTCACAGCCTGAAACATGTCGCGCAGTGTACAAGTGATCGCCTTGCGTCCATCATAGTAAAGCAATACGGCGACCAGACCGCGCGGTAAGCCCGGATGATGCACCTGTTGACGCTGTGCCGTGCAGAGCAGCTCCAAGGCAAATATCTCATCCAAATCAAACATATCGGACAAGATGATGGCCTCGTCAATAATTTCCTGTGAGAGTTCCACTTTACGCGACTGCCCTGCCAGCATGACACCCTCCAGCAGCGCATTGCGCAAGTGTGAACGGCTCTTCTCACTCTTCGGCTGCGCCGCAGTGAATCACAGACGATGGCAGAAGGGGTTGAGGTGAGAGCGGTTTAGGTTATGTTGCTTGTCAGTATTTTGAGTGTCTACTTACCGGATTGCGCAGAAAATTTGTAAAGTTCTGTTTGTACTTTTTGAGGCACAGCTCAAAATCGGCCGTGACCTCATTGGGATTCCTTATGGCCAACTGGCATATATCGTACAGACGCTTGTACGGCGTCCACATGTCCTCGAGCACACCACCTAATTGAGGCGACATGTTCATTTTAGTTATTTGTGCTATAAAAATCAACTACATACCATCCATTTTATGTTTGTGCTGTGTTTGGCTTTAACTCTCAAATAACTATAAATAAAGCTTAAGCATAAAACGCGGCAAATATCTTTACGAGCGGCTGCTTGCCGGCTTGCAAAACTAACAATGTCGATTAACGATAACGATAACTGTTGCATGCAAAAAAAAAAAATTAGAAACGGAAAAGAAACCGTACCAAGCGAATCGCACAGCTGATTATGCCATCACTAGGATCCAGTGTAAACAACAAAAACACATACATATATTTCGCTGTTGTTTTTGTTTTCGTTATTGTTGTTTTGGTTATTACAAACACCAAACGATGGCCAAGTTAAGTGAAACAAAAATACCAATCGCAGAATTCCTGGAGGCGTACAGACGCCAGCCATGCCTCTATAATTCCTTGCTGGACACCTACAAGAATCGTGTGGCGCGTGAGGAGGCGTACGAGGCGATCATCAGGACGCTCAAAATACCGCAATTAACTGTGCTCGATATTAAATTAAAAATTAAAAGCGTACGCACCGTTTACACAAAGGAATTAAGGATTTTAATGCGCGAAAAAGAGCTGGGCAGATGCTATGAACCGAAGCTGTTTTGGTTCAGGCGCGCCGATTCGTTTCTGCGCGCCGTTTCGCTCTCCCACTGTAAACGCGTAAGTCTCCATGCAATTGGCATAATATATTTATGTATACATAAGCATGTATATGTGCTATATTGATTTAATAGGTCAAGAATAAGGATGCTGATGTGGACAATGTAAGCGTAGACATCAAAAAGGAAGCACCACAAAGAATGCTGGTCAACGCTTCTGCGGAGCTAATTGAGGATGCGTTGCAGCAGCGGCAACAGCAGCAGCAGGAGGAGGATAGGGATGAGTTGGAGTCGTCGGTGGGACAGCCAGATGACGCATATAACACAGAGTTGAATGAGCATCCGATCAAAACGACTGTCAGCACAGGCACAAACACAAACAAACCGCCAAATGCGAGCAGTCAAACAGATGATATGCCCAGCGATTCCTCCACACGTGCGCCCAATAAAAGCGAACTCATCATCGATGACTCTACGCTGTGCATTATGGAACAAGAACAACAGCAGCAGCAGCAGCAACAGCAGCAGCAAACTCACCATCAGCAGCAACAGCAGACGGCGCCACGTAAATTAAAATACATGACTTATGCGCAAAACCATCAGTCACAATCTCAGCAGCCACATCAGAGGCTGTCCACGCCGTTTGCTTCACCATCGCCGTCGCAGCAGCTGGAATTGGGCTCAGCCACAAATCATGGCATGTGCTTTTCTGGCTCAAATGGAGCGGGACAAGTTGCCAGCAGCGATGATGATTTGTTTGTTTTTGGTCAAAGCATTGCCTCACAATTGCGTACAATACCCGATCCCTATTCCCGTTCCGTTGCCAAGCTGCGCATCCAACAGGTCTTGTTTGAGGCCGAGACGGGACAGAGTAGCGAAGCAGTCAGTCCACACTTGCATAGCTTTTAGCCAGGACAAAAAAAAAACGTGGACTCTAAGTCATGAATATATAAAGATGTACATAATAAACTTATTTATTTAATTAGATTAATTAATGTACATTTTAAATGCATTAAGCTTCAAGAAACTTAAATTAAGTCATATATTTGTTCGACGCACACTTAACTGTATTAAATAATATTTATTTATTGTTATATATGCATGTATATTTATAAATATGAACCAAATATTCGAACTAAGTAGTAAAATTCAATGCACTTCCTTGAACGTTTTTCGCACAGATTTTAACATTTAAATAATTGAATTTTAAAATTTACAGTGTTTGTACATGTTATCATTATTACTATGAGCCAAATATTGTAATTAAGTTTTTAAATTATTAAGTAATAAAACCTGCAACATAAAGAAAGAGCAGAATTTGGATCTTTGAGAGTCTGTTGTGAAATAATCGTGAGATTCAAGATCACACAAGATCACACACTCCCATTCTACTTATAGGTATGTTTATTGATTGATGCAAAATGGCTAATTGTTCGAAATTGTTTCAAAGTAGGCCCTGATTTTGCTGACTGTAACTCAAATAATTTCGGCTGACTCAAATTTGCGCTCGTAGTAAAGGATTATGTTATTATATCGTGTCCATACATCGATAAGTATTCAAGCAGTTCTACCATATTGTGCAGCCCTCAGTTCGCTTAAAATCAGTGTTGCATATCAAGTCCGTTTGGTGAAGGAGCGAACTCAGAAGAACGGAACCAAGTGGGCCACATTTAAATAATTATATAAAAATGTTGTAAGTTTTGGCTAATAATTATATGTCAATTTAGTTTTATTTTTACACAAACCCAAATTATAATAACTATATATATATAATATATATATATTTACATAAGCTTTAGGTGCCGGCTCAAATTAACCAGTCAGCTCTATGCCATCCTGATATGTAACGAGAATAGAAATTGCGCATAAATCCAGCAACTAGCAATTGTTTTGTTTTTGGAGAAAAGTTAATATTTTTAAGGGTAAGCCAACAAAATTTAAAGAATTTGCCATTTACTATACTCATTCAAAAGAACACCTGCGCTTGGTGAACCAACTAAGCTCGCTCGCATTGAAGTAGTTCACACAATCGAACCGATTTGTTCACGAGCTGCCCAAGACGACAGTGTTGTTTCTAAAGTATAAGTGTGTAAGTGCGTGCTGAGGGAATTTTACAAACTGAAATTACAATTGTCAAACCAAATAAGAACGTTTTTAGATCGAAAATAAGATAACAATAATAGCAGCAATATGCTGCGGTTTAATGTAAATGTAAGTATCGATCATACATTTTTTACATAAATGCATTTACGCATACACATGCATGCTGCATTGTGTAGCCTGTGGCAATCTCTTTTTTCTTTTGTTACATTTTTTTTTGCGACTACACGATTATTTTGATATTTCTTCGGCACTTTCGGTTTTTCTTTTTCTTTTTTTTGCACTTCGTGCTACAAAATTTGCCGTCGTGTGTGCGAGAGTGTGCGTGTGCTGGTTTCGGGAGAAAAAATACTCAAAGGACCATTAAACTGTATTAAAAATGAAGACTAAGCAGGTAAAATACGCTATGCTGCTGCTATTGCAAAATGCTGTGAAGTGCTCGCTCATTATATATATGTATGTGTATGTATGTACATATGTATGTGCAAACATGCATACATCGTTGTATGCGTGTTGATATGTCCGACCAAAAAGGCATTTGTTGCCATTGCTTAAAATGCAACAACCAAATATTGTTGCCCATAGATCTCTTTATATGAAATAGCTTTCGTGCAATACACGGACACAAAAAACACGCAACAAACACACGGGCAAACACATATGTATGCATTTGTTGCTGGTCTTTTTCGGCGAATTCATTATTCTGTTGTGGTTGCAGCTGCAGCGGCCGCGACCGCGGCGACGTCGACGACAACCAACGACGACGACACCTAAGACTCGTTGTTTATTCTTAAGTGTGCTTCGCAATAGGAAGAAATTAATAGAAGTTATAAACAAGTTGTGGCTTATATAGTAACTCCTGTCCTAATATGCTCCTTATTTGCGTCTGTTTGTTTGTACCCTATCTAAAGCATATAATAGGGGCATTCCTGCAGTTTACTAAGCTGCTGCGGTTTGAGAAAGGGATATAAAACTGTATGTTTATTTCTTAGAAAGCCGCCAATAATGGCAACCAGTAACCAAACTTCATTGTGTTTCCTTTAGGAGTTCCAAATTTAAAAAAAAAAAAAATAAATAAAAAAAAAATTTGGTCACACGCACACACACAAACACACAGCAAGTGGGGCCAGACTTTTGTTCCCTTTGATTGATGTCAGTTTGAATAATGAACAGCTGACGATTATCGATAACATTTCGTCTGCATCGGCAGGTTAGGCAAGTCATTTTCTTTTATGTTGTAAATTTCTCATTATTAGAGGCAGCAGCTTCGAAGTGTGTTTATTTTAAGTTCGGTGCTGAGGCAAGCAGGCGGAAGCAGTACCCTAATTGTTGTTACTCTCGCACAAATAGTGCGCGCGCGCGCTATTTACTATTTTAATTTATTCTGTTTTTAATAATTTTATTTTGTTTTATTTTTTGCCATATTGTTGCTAGTTGAAATTCACCTCCAATTGCATGCTGTTTGTGCTATTGTTGCAACTCGCAAGCGAATTTGAGACAATCGGCGGCGACGACGTCGACGTCTTCTTCGCGTCGTCGGCGTCGGCCACAGCTGACAACTGACAACTGACGACGAGCGCAGTTAGTTTTCGCGTTAATTTCATTTTGCCTGGCGGCTGCTGGTGTGTGTGAGCCTGTCAAAATCGCATTTTATTTCAGTGTTTACACACAGTGCGTGCGCCAGTAGGGAATTATTGTGAATTGCATTTTATTACGGCTAACAAATTAACCGCATAAATTGTTTTTCTCATGTTTTAATTTAATCGCTATGAAAATTCTCCATTGCAGTTTATTGAAGACTTTGACGTATAAAATTTGAACAACTCGATGCAAAGCTATTACAAGCAAGAAAAAAACGAAACGATAAACTGAATTTGAACGCATTATAATACGAATTAATAAGATTGAGAAGACAGAAAACGCACCAACTTGATTGAACCAACCACATACGCACGGCGGCGTCGGCAGCTAACGCAGCAGCAGGCGTCAGCCATGAAGGTGGACACCGTTAAACTGAAGAAAGGCTCTTCGGAGCTAACTTCAGAATGTCGCGAATTAATTGATGAATTAACCAAACGACGCACGCGTGCCGAGCTGCTTGAATTTTTGGACACTGTGCACGTTTGGATTTATGGTAAATGTGAATTATATCATTGGATTGAAATATTGGATCGCTTTGACAAAATACTCGAGGAGGCGGCCCGCCATGTCAATGCCAATGAGTTTGTACTGCAGTGCGACACAACATTTATTGAATCGGTGAGTGGTTTACAATTGTTTAAATACTCAAAAGAATTGTATATACAATTGTATATCGATGAATATTGATATCAATTTATATACAGAGATGTTTGTCCAAATAATAGATTGATGTATACAGATATAGATGGATCAAAGTTCATATAACATTATCGTTTTTCTATTTTCACAGGATGTTACTCTGCTGTTGCACGTACTCAATTTCACAACTCTGCTGATTGAGCACTCGTTCTCGCGCCATTTGTACAATTCAATTGAGCACTTGACGCAACTTTTATCATCACAGAACATGGACATTGTGCTGGCCGTGCTGAATCTGCTTTACATGTTCTCGAAACGCAGCAACTTCATTCCACGTTTGCCGTTTGAGAAAAAGGAGCTGCTTATTGTCAAACTTTTCAATATCGCTGAGGTGTGTATCAATTTATCAATATGTGAGATGAAGTGTTGATCTTCTGTTTTCTGCACTTGCAGCGTTGGGGCGATCCAAATTACGGACTATCGCTTAAGGACTGCTGCATTGGTGAGCCAAAGCTGGAGTTCCTTTATCAGCTGTGCATCGATTATGTCGATGAGCATGGACATGCCGCACAGCTTGAAATACCTGACATGATGGATCTCTGCCAAACAGCGGCAGCACCCGAGGTTATAAAAACAATAGCCGGACAGATCTCAAAGCCCAGTGAGGCCATTAAGGTTAGTATCGATGCTAACGGCTGTTGAGTACAATGTTAATGATTATTCGATGTGTACATTTCCTAATCTTACAGATGCGTATTGCACATCGTGTGCGCCTTATCTCTGGCTTCAACAATTATAAGTTGCGTTTGCAATTTGTACAGGCACGTCTGCAGGCTGTGTCCATATTGATATATTCAAATGCGCTGCAGGATAATACAGACAAGGTGCTCTATCCTGGCTTCGGCGAGGAGCTATGCGAACTGATCGACAAGGAGGATGTGCATTTGGTGGAAATACGTGCCGCAGTGCTGCGCACACTCACATCAATGCTACACTTTGATCGCAATCCCAGTGTGCCAAGGTAAGAGAGGGGAAGTGTAGGTTAAATGCATTATATACTTCTAACGATTGATGCTTGAAAAACTATCACATTATTGGCCAACAAAAATGACGTACATACAGTTTTTGAAATTCTATTGATCGATAGATATATACAACCGATTTGTTGCAATAGTTAAGAGTTCGGAATTTAATTGCATTCGATTTTAGTTTATTTTATTAGATTTATTGTTTGGTAATGTTTCTAAACTCTTTTTTTTCTCTTACTTTCTCACTTGTCCTTTCGACCGTTTGCTGCAGCAGAGCTGGATCCCGTTTGATGAAAATTGTGCATTATACGGGCGCTGAACGACAGGGCGGTACGTTGCCGCTGCTGGTGCGCGATTGCATCGATAATTTAACCACACATGGCCTAACGGAGCGTTATCCATTGATATTGGCCACCTCGCTATTCTCGCTGCTTTACCATCTGGCCAGTTATGAGCTGGGCGGTTCGGCACTTGTCAAGAGCGGCATGATGCAGTCACTGTTGCGCGTCATAAGCTGGCCCGGCGTTGATCTGGAGCACATAACATTTGTGACACGCGCAGTACGCGTTATTGATCTAATCACCAACATAGACATCGCACGTTTCCATCAGAATAATGGTCTCAATGTCTTTATCGATCGTCTCGAGAAGGAGATCAAGAGCTGTTGTCGTGCCCTGGCCGAAATTGGCATCACACTGAAGGAGTCAACGCTGCGCGACGAGCACAGCCTCACAGATAAATTGGACAGCTCGCTGGAGCAGGCAGATGATGATGGTAAGTGCTTGAAATTTATAGTTAACTGTCATGCTAAGCTCATTCAATAAATTACAGATGCTGCCACGGAGAATGCATCGGTAGCCAGCGGCAGCGCATCGCCGCGTCGCGATAATTCGAGCAGCGATGGCAGCGGTAGTGCCAGCGATCATGCTCAGCGTGCCTATCGCGTCTATATGGAGCACAGCGGCGGTGATCAGCCGCGAGGTGCTGGTGCTGGCACACCTGCCGGTTGGATGGACATTCGATCACGCGGTTCGGGCATACATGCGCTGAGCAGCCTGGCCGCAGCAGCCAGCAGCAGCAGCGGCGGCGATGCGGCTGCACGCGGCAGACCCGTACAGTATCCAGCCAATAGCTATTATGCGCGTCCGCTCGCCGAGCGCAAAGCAGAGCTGTCCTCACAGCTGCCCAGCAGTTTGCAGCCAAAGAAACCATCATGTGTGACCCAGCGGGCGGCGCTGCTAAAATCAATGTTGAACTTCTTAAAGAAGAGCATACAGGATCATGCACATTTTAGTAATATGCGCAACATTATGGAGACCAGCTTGACACAATCGCTGCGTCACATTATCGCCAATGCCGAGTATTATGGGCCATCATTGTTTTTGTTGGCCACCGATGTGGTCACCGTTTATGTATTCAATGAGCCATCGCTATTGTCGTCGCTACAGGATTTGGGCATAACCAGTGTGATGCTTAAGGCGCTGCTGCAAAAGGATGTGCCCGCAACACGCGAGGTGCTTGGCTCCTTGCCAAATGTCTTTTCGGCGCTGTGCCTTAACGAGCGGGGACTCTTTGAGTTTTTGTCGTATGATCCATTTGATAAGGTATTGAAGGTTCTGCTCTCACCGGACTATCTGGTGGCTATGCGCCGACGCCGCAGCTCAGATCCATTGGGTGATACGGCTACCAATTTGGGCAATGCCATGGATGATCTTATCAAGCATCATCCATATTTGCGTTCCGATGCTACCGAAGCAATTGTGCGGCTGCTTAATGAATTGGTGCGCCTTGGCTCTGATCCCAGTTTTATATGCTGGCGTGCCAATAAGGAGAGCAGCGCGGCAAATGCCACACACAGTGCGGCACCATCAACGCCCTCTCCATCGGCTATGGTCATGGTGGCAGCTGGACCTGTGCTGCAGAGTGCTGCAGATAATAACGATAGCAGCGGCGATGATGATGATGATGACGATGAGATGAGCTCCGCATCACAGCAGCAGCAACAACAACAGCAGCAACAGTCGCGTGCAGCACAGCAGCAGCAGCAACAACAGCATCCTATTGCAGTCAATCGCCCACAGCAGCCGCAACAACAACAACAACAAATGCAGCAGCAGCAGCCGCAACAGCAACAACAGTTGCAAACGCAACAGCAGCAAACACAACAACCGCAACAGCCTGAACGCGAGGCCATACCCCTAATTGATTATATACTTAATGTGATGAAATTCATAGAGGCAATCTTCAGCAACAGTCCAAATGGTGATCATTGCCGTGAGTTTGTACAAAAGGATGGCTTAACGCCCATATTGCAGCTGCTATCGCTGCCCAATTTGCCGGTAGATTCGCCCGTATCAACCACATCGCAGGCTGTGGCCAATGTCTGCAAGGCCATACTGAGTCAGGCACAGGAGACCAAAGTGCTGGATGTGGCGCTCAAGCAGCTGGCCGATATTGTGGCACAACTGAAGCCACTCATCAAGCATTTCACATTTCCCGGCGGCAGTGTTCTGCTCGCCGAGCTTGTCTGTTGTCAGCGTTTGGAGGATGGTTTTGCCAATGCCGAATATACGCCCATTTTGCACAACATGAGCTTTGTGCATGGCTATGTGGTGATGTTGGTGCATCTGTGTCGCAATGCATCCACCGAGATGCGAACGGTGCTGCTGAAACGTTGGGGCGCCAATCGTGAGACGGGCGTACAGCTGCTACAACAGCTTGTCCAGCTGTATATATCGCTGGTGTGGGAGAGCACCATATTATTGAATTTATGCTCGGATGAGCCCACACAGCATCCGGATCTCATTTGGGATGAAATCGCTGCACAAATGTCTGCCGCCGCCGGCACAGCGGATCCCATGACTGAAGCCGAATTGTCGCGTAAATTGGAACGCGCTGCTGAATTTCGTACCAAATATACACCCGAAGAGCAATTTCGCTATATCAAATCCCTATTGGCGGCAAGTTCGCGTCTGGGACGCGCCCTAGCTGAATTGCTGGGCACACTGGTCAAGCTATCGGTTGGCTCACCACAGACGCGCCAGCGTCGCATCAATGACCTCATTAGCAACATTAATAAAGTTCCTACGCCCGAGGCGCGCGAAATTGCCCGCATACTCAGCTCGATACTGGTGAATGGATTTAGTCATGAGAGCATTTTACCAAAACCGGTGCCCAAATTGAAACTAACCTTTCTCATCTGTTCGGTTGGGTTTACCGGTCCTATGCTGTTCGATGATAAGCGCAGCGCCTTCCATTTGATGATCTCACAATTCTGTGCTGAGAATGGCCTGAAGGCATTTTTCGAGATGTTCTATTGGGCCCTGTCACTGGATAATGTCTCGCAGAAATTTGTATTTGATCAATGGGCACCGCTGGATGATCTAATGCAATCGCACGAAGATGATAAACGAGATTGTCCAGAGGGTACTGGCGAATTTTTGGATGCCTGGCTGCAGTTGCTCGAGAAAATGGTGAATCCACGGGCCATGCTCGACTCACCATACACAATGAGTCCACGTCTCAATTATATGCCGGATAGTGTGCCATTTGAGCCAATTTTCTATCTCATCCATATCCATCAGCTGGCCATGCAGGCGCTGCGTCGCATCTGGTGCCGTCGACCCATACCAAATTATGGCGCCAGCATGTTTGAGACAATCCTGCTGATACTCAAACATCTCATCAAGTCACATCAGATGCTGCTCGATCGCTATCATACGCGTATGAAGGAGATCAAATTCGAGAATCTTTATATACGCAGCACCGACGATGGCCTCAATGCGGATCACATCAAGACTCTGACCGATATGGGCTTCCGTCATTATCACATTATCGAAGCGCTGCGCAGTAATGCCTCACTTGAGGAGGCCACCGATTATCTGCTTAACAATCCGGAGGCAAGTGCTCTATCCCATTCCGGACAGGGACAGACTGGGCCCGGCACTGGTACTGGCTCAACACAAAGCCTATCACAGGGCAGTTCCGCATCGAATGCAGCTGTTGCTGGTGATATGGACATTGATATGGAGTTGCCGGGCAGCGGTGGTGCCGCCGCCAATGCTTCCACATCCAGTTTGGCCACAGATGCTGCCGGTGATGCTGCTGCCGCTGCCACTGCCGCTGCCGCTGCCGCACCCGCTCTGGTTGTCAAACCGGCCGCAACAAGCGGCTATGATTATAGGCAATTGAAATTGATGCCGCCATTCATATTTGATCGGTTCTGCGATGAGGCCGTGTCGCGTGCCTTTGAATTCATGGAGGCCATACCGGATACAGTCAATAGCGCCGCCGATCTTATAGCGGTCCTCTACAGACGCCTCAATCAGCTGAATCGTCAGGTGTTTGTCACCAATTTTGTGCGCAACATTATACAGTGGGTGGACTTTACGCTGCAGCTATTTGAGCCGGCATCAGCGGCAGCCAGTAGCGGAGCTGCAGGTGCCCAATCCGTACCCAACCAGCCGGGCAATGGCAATAATAGTAAGCCAGCGCCGAAGCCAGGTCGTTTGGAGGAATGCTTGACAGGCATGACGGCTACACGTTTATTTGTGCGATTAAAAACATCCACATTGTTGCTGGAGGAGAACTACAGTGATATGCATCGTCCATTGGTCGAGGCGATAACTGCACAGGATGCGATGGTCTCGCTTGTCAAATTGCTTGACTGCATGAGCCAATGGATGTTGGAGCAATCGCAAATTGTGGATAACCAGACACGTGCAACGGTGCCGCGTTGGGTGCAAAATCTGGTCGATCTCATTGATGCCATCGATAGCATCAGTCATATATTGCAGCGCAAGGCCAACATGCGTGCGGTTAGCAGTGATCTGTGGCGTTGGTATGATGCCTCCACGGGCAAATGGAATGCCTATTCGGAGGCTAACAATGAACTAATACGCAGCGCCTATGCTGCCGGCGAGCGTTGGCTTCACATCAACATTGGACGCCAGCGTTGCACGGTTAGCTTCAATTGCATGACCCAGGTGAGCGATGCCTCTGGCAGTCATCGTCCCGTTTATCCGGCGTTGAAAATATGCGAGGCCATCAGTCAATTGCAAAATCCGATAGCTCCACAAAAAATTGATAATATATTGAATCGTGTGGTGCGCACAGCGCCCGATGGCAACGGTACCATACAATCCGATGAGCTGGTGCCGTTGCGTCAGCTTATCAATTTCAATGAACCCGCCACAGCACCACCACCGCCAACGCAGGAGTCGTCGTCGTCATTGTCGTCGGCGGCGGCGACGGCACAGGGCGAGGAGTCGACCAGCGCCGCAACTGCAGCCAATGATGAGCTGGGTAGCAATTATTCACCACCGCCCGCCATGACCACGCGCAGCAAGTCGCGTCAGAAGAGCGCTGCCGCTGCAGCCAAAGCAAAGGCAGCCGCAGCTGCAGCATCCAACACTGGCACCAACAACAACAACAACAACACTAGCAATGCCACCAGCACCAACACGACGGGCACATCCGCAATACCCAAACGCACCCAGAAAATTGTGCTGAACGAGGAGAATGTGGGTCTCAGTAAATTCGATTGTGGCTACATTATTGGCAGCATTGTGGCCCTGTTGCAGCCCACCCAGCTGCTGCATCACGAGACAAAGTTATCCCTGTTGCGGCTATGTGCGCGACTCACGCGCAACTTTGAGAACGCCCAGGTGTTCATACGCTGTGGCGGTGTGCGCATGCTGCTCCATTTACAGCAGTCGTGCAGCTTTATGGGCTTTCCCACCTATGCCATTATAATATTGCGTCATGTGCTTGAGGCGCCACCGGTGCTGCAGGAGGCCATGGAACGTGTGCTGGGCATGCGCGCCGCTGGCATTGTGCCGGTGGGTCATCGTGATCTCATCTATGTACTTACCCAGGTCTCGACGGCGGTTTCCCGTGATCCAAAGATTTTTGTGGCCGCTGCCAAGGAGATGCTCAAGGGCGAGTATATGATCAATGCGAACAGCACCAGCAATTTGATTGATGATGGACGCGTCATGGTCAAATCCAAATTTGGACAACAGCCGAACGCAGCAGCCGCAGCCGCAGCCGCTGGTGCTGGTGCTGCAACATCGGCCACACAGAAAGAGACACCACCGACCAAAGATGACATCATCGATGATCCGATGGTGCAATCATCCATTTCTGTGCTAAAGGAGCTGCTCCTGGCACTGGTTCAGCCCTGTTGCCATTATGGCGGCACCGCTACCGATCAACAGCAGCAAAATGCAGCCGAGCTGCTGCTGCCAGATCAGCCGCCAGGCGCTGCAGGCTCTATTGGTAACCCCGATGATGAGGTGAGTCCATTTCAAAAATTATTGTAGGTTTAACATTCAACTCCATGGTCACTTTGCAAGCTTTGTCCCCCTCGACTAGATCTATTTATTAATTCTGGCTGACCTTATAAAGTTTCATTTCGTTTTTTTCATGTTCTTATCCTCGTTAATCGTTAATCGTTAAATTTGCTTTGGATGCAGTTTATGTATATGCTCTAGGCTCACCATTTCACATATTTCTAATCTTAAAGCCCCACTTCAGTTGTCTAATGCCTCTTGATTTGCCCATCTCTGTTGCAGGAAACATCGCATACATTGAAGAAAACTGGTGGCTCAGCGACACCATCGACTGGTGCTGGTTCTTCGGCAGCCGGCGGTTCGGATAAGTTCGAGCCCTGCTGCTGTACCTGGCATATACCGACCAGTGCACATAGCCACAACAAGCCGACATTGTCGCGTGCCACATTGCTTAAGCTATTGGCGGACACGACGCGCGCGTATCAATCGCTGGTGCCGCGCGTGCTTCTCTCGCATGTTTATGCGCCAGCGGATAGTCCGCTGATTGGCAGCGGGCCGCAAACATTTTTGGCTGTGCTGTTGGATCGTTTCCTGCCGCTAACCCAGCGTCAACATGTGCCCGAGGTGAGCACCATGGCGCGTGTGCTGCTCTGTTCGCTATCCGATTGCTATCAGCAGACGGGCGTTCAGCAGCAGGTGGCCGAGGAGCTGCATGCGGCCGTGTCACGTACACTCGCTCAACCGGACTCGGCGGAGAAGCATACACGTCTTCAGGTGCTAATGAGCCTGTTCCCCAATCTAATTGAATCGCCCATGCTGTACGATAAGGTACATATGCATCGGAATACCATGTACCGTGTGCTGTTGCGTCAGGGTGTCATGACCTATCTGACCAAGGTGGCCCAATATAAGGATTTGTCCAATCACAACACACTGAGCACCCTCGGCGCCATATTGCGTCCCATGGAGATACTGTTGCGCTTCAATGTGGCCACAACAACGCTCGGCTCGAAGCGCATACTCTTTGGCGGCGCCAGTTCGGCCGCCAACGGGGCCAACAATGGCAACAGCAATGCCAATGGCCTGAGCGGTGGCAATACGGTGAGCGCCATTATAAATCGTCGCCTCTATCCCCGTCTTGCTGCACGCACCGCGGTCAGCGCCGCGGTGGATCGCTCGAATGCTATGGGCGGTGGTGAGCATGTACTCCGGGATATTATACGCAATGTGCTATCGGATCGTCGACATGCATTTGAGTTTATCTTCAATTCGGATGAGATGGCTGTAGACTCGGAGGATTCAGCACCGCAGGCAGCGTCTGGCTCGGCCGCTGGCAACAGCGGACCGGGCATAATTGGTAATCACAATGCAGCCGCCATCGATGTGGTCGATGAGCGCAGCAATGGCACCGAGGCCGCTGAGCCGCCGCCACCCGCTGCGGCAGCCGGCAGCGCTGTGCGTCCGGTGCTAAATTTCGATCAGCTATGGGATGATTTCCTGCAATGCGAGGGTCTCTTTCTGGCCTCGCGCGGCCAGAACAGTGCCGGCAATGGCAATTCCAATGGTGCTATCGGTCCTGTCACCGCTCAGCAGAATATCAGCAATGCCAGTGGCACGGGACAAGCCCTTGGCGTCGTCATTGGCAGCTCAGCAGCCAGCTCGGCCGTTGGCAACATAGGTGATCCACGTTTGCGCAACAGCTCGGATGTCGACGTTGACGGCAGCGGCGGTGTCGGCGGCGGCAGCAATTCGGCTGGCAATGCTTCCGGCAGCGCCGTCAATGACAACGGCTTGAGCGGCAACGGCGGTGGCAGCGGTGGCGGCGGCGGCGGCAGCGATGGCGCCTCCACATCATCGGATACCGGTGGCGGTAACGGCAACGGTGGCAGCACTGTTGGCGGTGGCGGTGGCGGTGGCGGCGGTGGCAGCGGCGGCGGCGGCGGCAGCGGTGGCAATGGACGTGGTCCACGCATTGCACGCGATATGAACGCCTCGTTGTTGGGTGATGTGAGCACAAGTGATTCAGATTCGGAGGCATCTACCGAGAATGATGAACGCAACGCTGAGGAGGAAGACGATGACGATGATGATGAGGCCGCCGACGAGGATGTGGACGAGCATAGCGAGACCGATGTGGATGAAGAGCGTCCGCGTCAATTTATTGAAGTATTTGACCATATCTATGAGCCTGAGTCCTCAGAAACGGCATCAAACGATGCCGATGTCGATGCCGAGGATGATGATGAGGATGAAGATGAGGATGACGATGACGACGACGAGGATGATGAGGATACACGTGCTCGCAACGCTGATGATGCTGCTCTAATCGACGAAGTGCTCGCCCAAGTGAATGGTACCGGCAACAGCACAAGCAGCTCGGCAGCGGCCAATTCCAATAATCGACCACGTCGCAGTGCCGCCATTGAGCCCAACGGTGGCACCGGTGCCGGCAACGACAATCGCATGGATGACTCGGGCCGCGATGCCAATGCCTATTTGTATGAGCGTCTGGGCAGTGACAGCGGTGGTCATGGTAGTCATGGACACGGGCATGGACACTTGATGCCACAACCACCGTCCAATTTCCGGGTGCGCATGAATAGCTCGATTGCCCTACCCCTGGATATTGATGTAAATGGTGGTGGTGGTGGTGGTGGCGGTGGTGGTGGTGGTGGCGGTGGTGGTGCCTCGTCCTCGTCAGCTGCAGCTGCCGCCGGCGGTGGACGCAACAATTCGACTGCCAATTCTGTGGCAGCCGCATTGCGTTCCTCATCCGATTCATGGATGGCACCAGACTTCAATTTCATTGGCAGAAGCGGCGCCGATGCCAATGCGGCTGACGTCAATGTAAATGCATTTCTGCCGCCCGCCATGGTTCAAATGGAACGCAATGCCGGCGGTGGAGCTACCAATAATCAGAATATGAGCAATCTGCTCGATGAACAGCCACCAGCTGCTGCCATTGGCACTGGCAATACTGGCACTGCCAGCGCTGGCGGCGCCTCCACCACAGCCGCCAGTCATCCCAATAACAATTCCTCGCTGTGCAACAATGGTGTGCGCCGACGACTCCTCTATCTGGATCAGCAGTACTGTGTGTGCATGCCAACCCATCAGAATCCAACCGAGGAGACACAAATGGAGATGTTCACCCAGGACGGTGAGTACAAAGATCATCATCGATTAATGTTTGATAGCAAAATCCAATTGAAACTCAGCTCAAATTGGTTGCTAGCTTTAACTTCAGCGTACGCATATATGCACAAATATTTCAATAATTTAAATTGAAATATCAATTCATGGGATTTATTAGTAACTCCACTGTTCCGCGCATTGAACCAATTTTAAACTTGAAACCATATTTCAATTATATAGATTTCGCATCGTGTGTTAAAAATCGTTCGTATATACCAGATGTAGCTGAATCACTTATAATTCTGTTTTATAACAGTTTTCCGCCGTTCTGGAGTGCTTGAACAAATTATATTGTTTGATATTCAAAGAATATGCAACTGAAACACATAGAAACCCTTTTATGAATCAGTTTTATAGTATTCTGAATCATTTTAAACCTGTCTTACAACAGTTTTAAACCAATTTTAAACCTTTTATAGTTTGTTTTCAAAATCTTGTACAAAAATATAAAAATTTGAAACTAGCTTTAGATCTGCTTTCAATCAGTTTTGTCTCGTTTAGTATTTGACCTGTTTAGTATTAACTAAGTTTTAAGATGACCGGCTCGGGCTCAATGTTGGTCATAACCACAAAGAATAACAAGCTAAAGAATCTCCCGGTTCTGTCCTGTCTTTCTGCCTTTCGGTCTTCCTGCCTGTCTCTCTGTCTGTCAGGTTCTTTATCAGCAGAGTTTGCTATCGAATCTTGATTTGCAAGGCGAAACGTTAACCATTTGAGAATTATAACTAGATTTTAGTAAATATAAACGTCTCTCATCTGATTATTTTGTATGCTTGTGTTGCGTTTGCCAGCGCTCCATTGGTGGCTGGAGGAAGCCAAAGCCCTAGACATGGAAAGTCAAACCGATGCATGCCTCTATGCGGCACATTTCCTGCTGCCGCATTTGATCAAAGAACTGAAATTGGCTCATCAGCAGCGCAAACAGGAGGAGGCCAATCGTCAGGCGTCAGCAGCAGCTACTGCTGCTGCCATAGCTGCCGCCTCCAATTCTGGTGCTGGAGCTGCAGCTGCAGCTGGAGCTAGTGCTGGTGCGGGTGCGGGTGCGGGTGCTGGTGCTGCCACCACTGCCGCCGCCGCACCCGCTGAACCAGCCGCAGCTGCGACAGCTGCAAATCCAAATCTAAATGCCAGTGCAAGTGCAAGCGCAAGTGCAAGTGCAAGTACCAGTGTCACAACGGGCGTGAACAATGTCAACAGTTGGCTAACGAATTCAGCTTCGACAACCACAACCAGCAGCAGCAACAGCAGCAGTAGCTCCAGCGCGATAGCGCCGCCGCCGCCACCGCCGGGCGCGGCAACAACAACAACAACGGCGGCAACCAACAATTTCCGAAGTTCGATACCCCGACTGATTCCATCGATGCAGTTCGTGAATGCCGCATCTCTGGCAACGGTGACCACAGCAACGACTCCATATGGCGGTAGCAGCATTGTAACCGCCAGCACCACAATTCAGCCAACACTGGCGGCCACCAACAGCAGCAACAACACCAGCAACAACAGCAGCAGCAGCAGCAGCAGCAGCAACAATACAGCTGCTGGTAAGTGGGGCACACGCCTCTACCCCTCTCCCTCTACGCTCGCAAAATGATTAAATATTAAACGTGTTTCTTTTTGCCCACTTTACCAGCTGGCGGCGGCGGCGTTGAGCCACGACGTCCACGTCATCGCAGCAATGCCTCGCGCCATCAGGCGCTCTATAATATCTATGCTGAAATTGATTTGACCAATGAGCAGGAGTCGGTTGGTGCCTCCGGTGCCGGTGCGTCGGGCATTAACGATATGCCGCCACGGCCTCCGCAACATTCGCAGCCGCAACAGCAAGCGCCGCCACAACTGTTCCCCAGTGCCCAGGGTCCGTCGAATGCGGCTGGCAGTGCTATACCGCCATCGCATCCACCACGTCATCCACCAGTACCACATCTGCCGTCCAGCGGTCGACCATCGCGTACTCGTACACGCGCCGAAGTAGCTGAAATCCTGGAGTTTGGGGTGAGTTCAAAGATTGATTTAATGCCATGACAAAAATGTTATTTAAATCGGTGCAGTTGCAATTGGCATGTTATGAATGCAAAGACGAACCGAATGAAAAGTCGATGTAGCCAAGAAAGTCTAGTTAAAGTGCCGGCTGTCCCTCTGTCCCCACCCCTCTTATATATACTACTGTTCTAAATTGGTTAATAATTGGCTTTTGATTTAATATTCTATTTTGCAGATGAACGAGCCACGTCAGAACTCGACGCGCCGCAACAACAATGCCAATGCAAACGCGAACTCATCGCGGACCGCCGGCGCTGGCCCGTTGAATGCTCGACAATCGGTGCCCAATCGCGATATGCCCGCCGCCCGCCTGCAACGTGTATCGATACAGGCCGGACGCAGTAATTCCGGTGATACTGGCTCCAATGATGAGCAATGGCGCGATTCGCCAGTTCGCATGCCGCCTAGTGCTGATATGAATTTACCGTTGCCGCCAACGCTGGATGTGGTGCCAGGCATGCTGAATTTTACCGATCCTCCACCGCCACCGCCGCCAGAACAGCAAGAGCAGCAGCAGCAACAACAGTCACAGCTGCCATCGAATGATCCAGAAGAAGTGGAGCAGCCGGAGGAGTCAGAATCCGAGCAGGACCTGGTGCCAGATTTTTCTGATGTTACAGATCCAACCACTCTCTTTGCACCGGCCCCGCCAGCGGTGTCTATATCCGAGCTGGCCGCTCAGCTTATGGCCAATGACCAGCACGATGAGGCACGGGATATATTGAGCACTGTACCTGAACCCTATCATCAGCTAAATCGCGCAACTCTATCCGCTGTGGCCGCAGCTGTGGTGGCTGCCGTTGAGGCAGATCCATTGCCAGATTTGCCCGATATAGAGCCGCCCGAATTGGATTTAGAGGTGCGTCCCCATGACCCGGTACCCGAAACAGATTCTAGTTCTGGTCTAGATTTCGGTGCCGCCGACGAAGCGCCTGCCAACGATGTGGAGGCTAATAGCTTAGAAGATACTGCTGCTGCTGCTGCTCCTCCTCCTGCGTCTGCTTCTGCTTCTGCTGCTGCTGCTACTGCTACTGCTACTGCTAGTGAAGCAGCACCAGCAGCTGCAGCTGGCGGCGCGACAGGAGGCTCCAGCGCTACAGCCAGTGCCGTTGTCACAGACATGAGTCCCGAGGTGCGTGCCGCATTGGGAGACCTAGAGGTGCCAGAGGGCGTTGATCCCTCATTCCTGGCCGCCTTACCCAGCGAGATGCGCGAGGAGGTTATACAGGAGCATTTGCGGATGCAGCGCATACGCCAGCGTGCCCAGCAGAATGCCATACAAATTGCACACGATTCACTGGTCGAGGTTAATCCCGAATTTCTGGCCGCACTGCCGCCCAACATACAGTCGGAGGTGCTTATGCAGCAGCGCATCGAACAGCAGCGTCAGGCGGCGCAGAGCGCCAATCCCGATGATCCTGTCGATACCGCCGCATTCTTTCAGAATCTGCCCGAAAATTTGCGTCAAGCTGTGAGTACATGTGCCCCAATAATACCATGCTATGACCCTATTTTTAATCCAATTGCTTATACAAAACAGATACTAACCGACATGGAGGAGTCACAGATAGCCAGCCTGCCACCGGAACTGGCTGCCGAGGCGCAATTCCTGCGTCGCGACTGGGAATCGCGCAACGGCGCCCGCATGGATGCCCATCCACCCAGCAATGCGCTGTGTAAGTCTCTCCACACCCTTGTGCAGGAGACATTTCCGATCCCATAAAGTACATATGCTCTAGATCAGCATCAACAGCCGAGTTGATATTGCCATGTCCCCAACTCCGTCCGTCTATCTGTTTCTATCCGAACTAGTCTCTCAGTTTTAAAGCTATCGTCTTAACACTTTGCCTAGGTCTGTCTTTTTGTTGCAGGCATATATCGAAACCGGCCGGATCGGAACACTATCATATAGCAGCCATATGAACGATAGGTCGAAAATAAATGGCATCGACAAATATTGATTTTGAATAATGCTTTTAAAGCTCTTCAATATTTGATATGTAGGCTCTCGTATCTGTATAAACAGATTGGAAATTTTTAATGTTCAACCGTTGACCCTGAAATTATATAAAGCAAAAGACTAGCATTTTGATAATTAGACATTTTGGGGCGTTATAATTAGACCCTTCAAATTAAGGATCGAACGATGAGTAGCGAAGCTATTCAAGAATACATCCCATAGTGTGGAAAGAAGCTCAGTTGGAGCGCAGATTGTAACGGGTTATCTTCTAGTCGGACACTCCCGACTGGTGTACTTGCTGTTTTTTGTTGACCATTTTCTAATAGAAAATCCCTCGATTTGTTTGACAGCCCGCTTCCAGTCAACTCTGCAGAATTTGGATGAGGCGCGCTGGCATAGCGCCATTTGGTACGATGCCAGCGGCAATGCGCAGCCGCAACATCATCAGCACACGACAATTGTGCATCATCATCACATTGCGCCGAGCACTGGAAAGCCGCTCGCTCTGCTCATGATGGAGGATGAGAATATACTGCTGGATCCGGATTCGCTGGCCACGCTTTTGCTGTTCCTCTTTGTTGAGGATCAGAAGGTGAACAGCGTGCGTTTGCATCGCGTCATACGCAATCTATGCCATCATGAGCCAACACGCGACTGGATAATTAAAGCCCTGATTAGCATCATACAGAAGACAAACGAGGATAATTCGAATTTTGGTGCAGCCAATTCGGGCAGCAAACCCGAATGGCTTAAGCTGCGCGTCGATGCCGCCTTTGGCTATAAGAGCAATATATTCCTAATCAATCGGATGTACGAGGGCAGCGCACGCAGCATCAGCATCAATCCGCAGGCAGCGCAAATGATAGTGCGCAATTGTCTTGATTTGCTCTTCGTCCTGGCCAAGCACTATCCATTCAGTTTCTTGCCCTACAATCGTGAGCCAAAAGCGCGCGCTCGCATGCTCAGCGCCGTCTTTGGCATGCCCAATGCGAGCGCCTCGGCACGTCTCGATGATCCGGCAGCCGTGGCCAGTCTTGTGGCAGCTGGCAATGCTGCTGCTGCTGCTGCTGCTGCTGGTGCAAGCAGTGGTGCAGGTGGTGGTGGTGTAGGCGGAGATTTGCGATCACGATATCATCGCTATCAAATGGCCAATCGCCTGCGCGGCATTTTGGATGAGCAGCAACAGCATCAACAGTTGCAACTACAGCTGCCCAAGGCGCAGCCACTGGATGAGGCGCCATCCACATCGAAAGCGGCTGCTGCCAAGGCAGCTGCCAGCGCCGTCAAGCCGAGCAGTAACAACAACAACAACAACAACAACATTGTTGATGGCACCACCGTTGCCTATCAAACAAATGCGCACAACTTCTGGGACGTGGTGCTAAATATTGATCGTCAGACTCCGTTGCGTTTGGCCAATGTGTCACAGTTTCCATTAACCTCACAGCCGGCCTGGAAATGGCAGACCAATAATAGCGAATTTTTATCCTTCACCGATTCGCCGTTTGGCCAGCTGCTCGAGATGTTGCCGTACAAGGTTATCTGCCGTTCGCCGCATTTAACTGATATGCTGGTCAAGCTGTTGGCCTCGCTTAGCGTTGATTTGCCCAAAGAGGAGGAACAGCAGCAGCAGCAACAACAACAACAACAACAACAGCAGCAACCACAACAGCAGCAACCACAACAACAACCACAACAACAACCACAACAACAACCACAACAACAACCACAACAACAACCACAACAACAACCACAACAACAACCACAGCAGCAGCAGCCGTTGCCGCAGCAGGATGAGCAAATGCCAACACAACAGCAACAACAACCACAACCCCAACCACAACAACAGGATGAACAAATGCCAACGCAACAGCAACAGGATAGTCAGTTGCCGCCACTGGCGCCTCTTAGTCAATGCCATGAAGAGATGCGTGACGATGCGAGTGCAGAGGTAGCAGCAACTGCCAGCACAGCAGCTCCGGAGCGGCCACAACAGCTGTTGGCTGCAGGTCGTCATCATGACTCGGACGACGATGAGGAGGAAGATGATGAAGACGATGAGGATGACGATGACGACGAGGAGGAGGATGATGAAGACGATGAGGATGATGAGCTATCGCACTCGGGTGCAGTAGGCGGAACAGTGCCAAAGCCACCACCATCAACACCATCGCAATCGAATAAGCCTCGTCGCAAAATCTATGCCAAGAACTTCTCTCAATTGCAGCTGGTTATCGAGGTGCTAACACATCAGTGCGGCACCACCGAGGGACTGGACAATGTTACCAAACTGATTGTGAATCTCACACAGTGCTCGCAGGCATCGAATGCCATATTCATACAGTACTTGACGGCAGCCATACTCGGCCTGGCCGAGGAAGTGCGTCAGGCTATACAGACGCTGCTGAACGAGATTCGCGCCTACAATACACTTGGCGGCCAACAGCAGCTGCAGCCGAAGCCGCAACAGCCGGACAATAAGCCCAGCAGCAGCGGCAGCGCCAGCGCCAGCGCCAGCAGCAGCAATAACATCATTAACAACAACAACAATAACAACAACAACAATAACAGTAGTAGCAGCAGCAGCAGCGGTGGCGCCGCTTTGCTATCCAATTTAACCGTCCATGAGGGCACTATGCAGGATCGCTTCACATCTGAATCGGTCATCATATCGGCCCCAAAGAATGCCAAGCCCACCTGTGAACTGCAGTTGCCCTCGATGAAGAAGCTAATGTCCAATTCATCGGCACAGCCTTATTTCCTGCGCACCCTTAAGATCTTCATGCAGGTGCGTGAAATGTACGAGCTGCAGAATAGTCAAAATGATGACAACAACGAGGACATCATTGATATTATTGGCGATTCGGGCTCAACTGTTGGAGGCAGCGCATCTGCCTCCGGTGTCAGCAGCATGGACACCAACGACGCTTCAAATGTCAATAGTTGTTCTAACAGTAGCGCTGGCAGTAGCGGCGGCGGCGCTGGCGGCGGCAGCGGCAGCGGAGGCTCAAAGAGCGCTGCTAAGCCAACGCTTAGTCAAATACTATGCCTGGACGTGCTGTGGCACACGTTGAGCGAGTGCCTGGTGGCCCTGGAGGAGTCCAAGGATGAGTTTGCTGTACTGGTGCTGCAACCGACCGTTGAGGCCTTCTTCCTCATACACGCCTCGCATCGGGTGACACCGAAGAAGCCAGGACGTGGTGTCGCCGGCAGTGCAACTGTTGGCTCTGGCTTGCGCGTTGTCCCCCATCCAGTGGCATCCGAGCATAGTCCACAACTGGATGATACCAATAGCAGCAGCAGCAGCCAAGCCCAAAATTCAGCCAGTTTTGATGGTACGTACAGAAATGTTCACCATAGATCGAAATTTAATTGTTATAGAAACTTTTGCAGATGAATCGCGCTTGCAGGATGGTTCCACAGGCGCTGCTGGTCAGCAGGTGGCGCTAACCGCACACGAGGCCCAACTTAAACAGGATCGTCAAAAGTTTCTACAATTCGCCGAGAAGCATCGCACAGTGCTCAATCAAATTCTACGTCAGTCGGCCACACATCTATCCGATGGCCCATTCGCCGTGTTGGTTGATCATACACGCATCCTGGACTTTGATGTGAAGCGCAAATACTTCCAGACCGAATTAGAGCGCCTCGACGAGGGTATACGCCGTGAGGAGCATACTGTTAGTGTGCGACGTATTACCGTTTTTGAGGATTCATTCCGTGTCCTCTATCGTCTCGGTCCCGAGGAATGGAAGAATCGCTTCTACATTGTATTTGAGGGTGAGTCCGGCTGAATCTAAGATTTCCAAAGTTATGAAAAATAATTGTTTTTGTTATTATTGCTTTTAGATGAGGAAGGCCAGGATGCAGGCGGCCTGCTACGTGAATGGTATGTGATAATATCGCGAGAAATCTTTAATCCCATGTATGCCTTGTTCTGCGTATCGCCGGGCGATCGCGTCACCTATATGATAAATCCATCGAGTCATGCAAATCCCAATCATCTGAGCTACTTCAAGTTTGTCGGTCGAGTCATTGGTAAGTGCCAAAGAGTCCCAAATCGTAGAGCCCACAATTCCTAACATGTTTCCACTCTCTATTATAGCCAAGGCCGTGCATGATAATAAGCTGCTGGAGTGCTATTTCACACGCTCATTTTATAAACACATCCTGGGCAAACAGGTGAAGCATACTGATATGGAATCGCAGGATTATGAATTCTATAAGGGCCTGGACTATCTTATGAAAAATGATATATCGACGCTTGGCTATGAGTTAACCTTCTCCACCGAGGTGCAAGAGTTTGGCGTCACACAAATCCGTGATCTCAAGCCAAATGGGCGCGACACTGCCGTCACCGAGGAGAATAAATTTGAATATGTTCAACTCGTTTGCCAGCTAAAGATGAGCGGCTCCATACGTCAGCAGTGAGTAGTGGAATCAATTAAATTTTAAACATTAGGAAAACATATAATTGTAACTAATACTTTGCATAATGTTTTTTTTGCAGATTGGACGCATTCCTTGAAGGCTTCTATGATATAATTCCAAAGCATTTAATATCCATATTTAACGAACAGGAATTAGAGCTTCTCATATCCGGCTTGCCGGATATTGATATTGAAGATCTAAAGGCAAACACCGAGTACCACAAGTACACATCAAAATCGGCACAGGTGCGTGTCTATAACTAACTAATATATTTACTATTTTTATGTGTGTTATATATATATATGATATATGATATATTTATGCATTTTGCAGATTCAATGGTTTTGGCGAGCGTTGCGCAGCTTCGATCAGGCGGATCGTGCGAAATTCCTACAGTTTGTCACTGGCACCTCGAAGGTACCGTTGCAGGGCTTCGGCTCCCTGGAGGGCATGAATGGCATACAAAAGTTCCAAATACATCGCGATGATCGTTCCACGGATCGTTTGCCTTGCGCACATACCTGGTAATTGCTTAGCTTCAATTTGAAAAATTGTATTTTGTATTAACTAAATCCCACATACTTTACCTGCAGCTTTAACCAACTGGATCTGCCCATGTACAAGTCGTATGATAAGTTGCGCAGCTGTTTGCTCAAGGCCATACACGAGTGCTCCGAGGGCTTTGGCTTTGCCTAAGCTGTGCCGTCCGAACACACCCAACACAACAATTACCAACAGCTACAGCAACACACACAAACCACACACACACACACACGAATACACACAATTTCAAGAATTCCTACAACAAAAACTGCGAAGAAAAATAATTAGAACAGCCACAGCAAATGTGCGATAGCAACAACAGCGACAACATATACATATAGTACATATAGTTATATAGTATATATAAAAAAAAAACATGTTGAATTAATTATTAATTTTCGCGCGTATATTATATACAATACATATATATCTATATATATATATACATGCATATATATGTATATATATATATTTACATATATATATATTTTCATAAATTTTCAAAAAGAGAAAGGGAAAAACCGAAGATAAACAGTAAAAACAAGAAGATAAAAAAGAAATAACAACCATGCAAAGAGCACACAAAGAATAACATCATTTATCATATGGGGGAAAAAAAAAAGTATATCAGTCAACATCAATGTATTCAAAGCTGTTTTCTTAATTTTATAATTTTTTTTTGCAACCCTATTTTTGAAAAAGTAATAATAACACAAAAAATAACTAATATATTTTTATTTACTTAAGTCGAGCATATCCCCACATGGATATGTGCGAAACAAAGCAAATGCAAATATGCAGATGACGCTTTGATTCTTGTTTATATATATATTTAAAAAATTAAAAAAAAAAATACAATAAAATGCACGAAAAAAAAAGGAAAGGAAGAAGGAAGGAAGGCATAGGTATTTGATATAACTATAAGTCTATGTTATGCATTTTATGTTTATCTTTTAAATGAGTAAATGTAACTTTAGTAAAAGAGAAAGAGAGGGCGACAGATGGATAAACCCATTGACGATATATATATACAAATATTTATATATAATATATATATATATATATATTTATGTATATATTTATATTTATATATATATATATATATATATATATATATATATATATATTATCGTCAATAAGTTTGCTCATCTAAGATGAGATACATATTTACATATATTAAAATAAAACTAAAGAGCATACAAACCATTTGCACACTTCGGTCGGGTTGAAAAATGTTCGAATTCAAAAGCCAGTGCTGGCCAACTGTTCATGGCTAACAGCCCGCCTTATATAGAGCAGCTCTGCGCAGACTCATTCAGATAACAGAGCTGCTCGTTAACAGAGCCTGATTATCGATAACACTTCTTTCAAATTCATTGATCAAATATAATATTAAATAGGGTACAGCTCCTAAAATGAATTAACATGTAAATACTATTAAATTAGAGAACCAAAGAACCTGGAAGTAAGCCAACGATGGATGCGTACATACGAAATGAGCTGAGTGTAGACAGCGACTTAACGCTGGATCAAGCCGCGACACATTCCGCCAAACTGCTCGCTTGGCTGCTGGATTGCCAAGATCAGATGCAATTGGGGCAGCCAAAGTATCTTGAACTGACCCACACGGATATTGAGTGCATGTTCAAAGCCACGTTGTACCTGTATGAATGTCATGCACGGCATGGCGATGAGCTTGTGGAAGCTGTGCTGCAGCAGTGCCCCCAGGCGCATGCCGCCATAAGACGCTACTACGACAAGTGTGAAACGGATCGGGAACAGTGCATCAAGGAGCTGTGCATCAACATTGTAAACGGCACGCACAACGGACATGCGCATGCGCCACTTTTGTACCACATGCACAAGACGTATGCCGAAGTGCAGCCCGCTTGGGGCATCATCAAGGATCTGGATTGGTCAGCCATGGCCCAGAAAAAGGCCAACAGTACGCTGGACGCAGCAACAGCAGCGGCAGCAGTTGAAACGAATGTCAATGTGCTGCAAATGCGTCAATTGGTGCGACGCATCTTTCGCCTGGCCACAGTGGAGGACATCAAAATTGCTCTCGTACGCGCCATGCGACTCATCAGCTGCGAGCTGTGGCTGCAGCTGTTTCGGGAGCCCAAGGAAAGCATTTTGTACACACGCTGCTATGTGCTGCGCCAAATGATCTGTGATATGCTAACGGAGGGCACTGCATGCCCGGCCAGCGCCTGCTTTGTGCAAAACATTTACCTCTTTGTTGCCAACGGCAGCAGCTCCAATGTTTCGCGCCTGTTCTGCTGGTTAATGCATGCCCGCTTCGCTGGCGCATTGGGCAGCTATTTGTATGGCTATTGGCAGCAACAGTTGCCGCATCTGCGTTTCGATGACATACAGTGCACAGGTGACGCGCCCGTTGCAGCGATGCCGCTGGACGAGATACTCTATTTGACACATTTGCTGCTCACACCCAAATCGCCGTGTCGCAATCAGTTCTATGGCGAGCTTCAGGCGCTACCGCAGCTTGGTCGGCTGCGGGAGCTACTCAATAAAGTAGCCTACGTTTATAGCTAATAACATGGGTTTTAATTGCTTGGCAAATATTCATGTTTATCACTGACAATTTTCACAACTTGTTCCCCCTTTTCGGCCAATATTTCCTCAATGTTCCGCTTGCCATTGAGATCCGTGAACCAATTTAAATTGTCTGCAATTAGATGATGATTGGCACAGCCTTTGCATGTGACAATAACAACGCCTCGGTTGTAGGCAACCTTCGATATGGTCTCCATGTTCCTGCTTTGGCACACCTTGCACGTATAGATGAGCTGCATTTTGGTCTGCAGCTCCGCCAAGGGTATGCTGTTGGTGGCCACCCGATTGCTTTCATCTTGCTGCTGTAGATAATATGTAGATTTAAATGGTATTCACTTGTTGCACCTACCGCCTACTTACCGCTCCCGTTTCGAGCTTGTCGCTGAAGGTTGCGCGCTGCAGGCACGTGTATTTGTTGTTTGGTAATGCTGATATGGCCAGCAAATGGTATTGACGCTGGCCATGATTGTGTGCATGGTAAAGGGCGCGTGTGGCGGGAGCTATGGTGCGTCTGCCGGCACTGCCATATAGTTTGTACATTAATTTTAAGGCGCTCATTTTACTTATGTTTGTATAAACAATAAATATGAAACGGACAATAGTAAGCTTAATATATCGATAAAATTGTGCGCTAGTAAACACTGATCGATGATTTCAGTGCTCTGAGATATTAGAAGATTTCGTTCTTAACAACTTTCTCATTGGCATTACAAATGTGCCATAAAGTTTTTTCTATTATTTATATTCCTGTTTTAATTATAATATAAGTTTACTACTTACGATATATATTTACAGGGAATATAATGATAGATTTATTTAAATTATATATGTTAATGGTATAGATATGTGGTAAATTTATTTAAAATCGCTTGTTCGAAATAGTTTTTTTAATCGTGCTATTGAATTTGGAGTAAGGACCAATTACTCTTTAAAAAAGTCTTCAATTTAATATTTTCCAATAAAAAGCGTAATTTTAAAATTTGTGACGAAATACGGCCAGCAAAACGATAACAGTGTATCGTGTCGCTCGATAACTTGCACGCTGTTAGTCAACTCTGGAGCGCCTATCACACGAACAGATTGTTAGTGTTTAGTAACACTTTTCGAACAGCACAGAATTTGTTGAAATTGTTAGCAAAACAAATTATATAAATCTTGAACAAAAAAAAAAATGGCAACACGTGTTGTGGCAACAGCAACGGTACGCGCTGTCACGGGACGAAAATTAATAGCAACGCGGGCCGCACTAACGCTGGTAAGTCCCACATAACTTTGTGATGAAATACGCGCATATGACAGACTTTTGTCTGATGAAGTAACAGCCAAACGGGCAGCATCGCAGCTCGCTTATCAAAATTGTTATTTACGGTTGTGGTGTGCTCTTCTTTTTCATCTGCTTCTAGACGCCCGCTGCGGTGCAACGCATCAAGTCGCTGCTCCAGGGTAAACCAGAGGTGGTAGGTCGACTGGTTGCGCATTAACGTCAAAATCTATATGCTTGAATTTGTCTCCACAGATCGGTCTCAAGGTCGGTGTGCGCCAGCGCGGCTGCAATGGACTCTCCTATACACTGGACTATGCCAGCACCAAAGGTCCGTATATATATACAAATATATCTATTTGAGTATTGTTTGTAAATGTTATTGATATTTTGCATGGTCAGATAAACTGGATGAGGAGGTAGTGCAGGATGGCGTCAAGGTCTTTATTGATAAGAAGGCGCAACTATCTTTGCTAGGTAATGGCAGATGCCGCATTATATAATGCCTTATCATATAATCAAACGTTTTACAAACTGTTTCTTTTTTCTTTAAATTTTCTTACTACAGGCACCGAAATGGACTTTGTGGAATCCAAATTGACCAGCGAATTTGTGTTTAACAATCCTAACATTAAGGGCACCTGTGGTTGCGGCGAATCGTTCAGCATGTAAAGCGTTTGTGGGGGGGAGGGAGGCCAGCGCCATGCTCTCTTTACAGAACCGGACCCGCCTCGCAAAAACCTAAATTATCTAAGTTTATGTAGAGATTACAGCTTGTGTTATGTATATTTCTTTTTAAATTCAATTGTTATTTTGCGAACGCTCGTTGCGAAAGCATCTTCTCAATTGTCTCGATACGTTTGTAGACTCTACCACATAAGGTGCTCCACAAAGCCGAAAAAAAAAGAATATTATGAAAATATGCTTAAGATTGTTTTCTGTAGTTACATTTTAATCGTAAGCGCGCGGCAAATGAGCCCAATTGACTCTGTTCTTAGGTTATCCTTCAAATAACATATACGTATGTACATTAGCATGTATGTAGTTCAAATTAAAAACAAATAGAATACAAAATGAAAATTGTTTACTAACAAATTGTACTCGTTATTTCACATCTTTGCTATCTGCGCGTCGGGGCAGAGTGCCCATTAAAAAACAAAAATTGATTTCATCGGATAGCCAAAGCTGTGAATGCTCTATTATAATTATGTTTAAACTTTTCGACCAATAGTTGTGGGATATGGCAGCTCGATTTGGGTAAGATTGATAAAATTAGCTTGAAAAAACAATATTTTTTCATACAAAAACTTAAATTTCCAGCAGCTGTATTTAATAAACTGGTCCGATCTAATGCAAATGTATAATGGTACGATTGTTAACTATAAACATGCTTATTTGTGAAATGCCTTGAGAAACTCAGTATATAAACTCAACTTTCAACATGAATATGGACTACCTGAAACAAGAGGCATTAATCTGAAGTTGGCTTTAGAACTGTGGAACGGACAAGATGACAAGGGTGTGCGAACGGGAGGAGGGAAGTTTCTGGCTTGGGGATGCGATAGCTTCCGATGCTTAAGCTCTAACGTTTCATGATTAAAGAGATGACTTCGCTGGAAGGCATGCCAATGCACAGAAGTCCAGTTCCAAAACGCTTTGCATTCAGTCCCAGCTACCAAATATAGTAAAAACAAGTCACAGTTTCCATGTAATACATTAAATGTGGCATTTAAGGATCTATATGCGACATTCATGGGTTATTTAATGGCGGCACACACACACACACATACACACACACACGCACAACGGCACAAAAAAAAGTGAGCTATAGATATAATTTATAAACCTAATCAATGGGCATAGTTTCCACTTAGCGCTGCGGCAGGCCGTGTATGCCAAATTCTTCGTAATCATCTCGCGTATAGATGAACTCATCAAAATTGGGACTGGTGGCCACTTCGCGGCCGCCGTACCAGGCATAACGCACCGGGTCCTCGGGACAGATGAGCGATACCTCCAAATCATCTGGCACCAGGGCGCGCAGATCGCGCTTGAGGCGCGGCAGGAAACCAGGAAACTGTGAACTGCCACCAACAATGAGAATGTTTAGCAATAGTTCGCGATGCGCCTCCCAGGGACACGCTTGCAGGGCATCGGCAACAGCCTCCGGTATGCCCACCTGCTGAATGCCGATGTCCGATGGATTGAAGAGCACCTCCGGCACAGTAAAACGTTCATTGCACAGCGGCACCATTTGCTGTTGTTCCTCATCAACGCGTGGCTGGCCCGGCACACGTATATAGCCACGCTTGACTGTCGTAAAGTCGGGCAGGACATACTCCACAGCGATTTCCTTTCGCCTTTTCTCGCTATGATGCACGCTCATCGCATCCTTGAAGTCTTCGGCCACAAAGCAAACGTCCTCCTTGATTTGATTCACCACATGGCTCTCGTCCATGACGTTCAGATGGCGGTAGGAGATGAGCTCCTTGAGATGGTTCGTTAACGCTTTGCCGCCCACATCAATGCGCCGGATGGCTTCCAGGACACGCCGGCCCAGCACAAACGGCACAATATGTGTAAAGCTGTAGCCGACATCGATAATGATGCAGTTGAGAGTTTGCATTGTGGTGCGCTCCTCGCTGTCCGCTACATAGTTGAACGCAGCCAGATCGGCGGCCGTCGCCTTGTACATGCCCGCCACGCGATACTCCTCGAACAGCATCTCGAGCATTGCCTCCTGCACGCTCTGGAAGTTCATTTGCGGTTCGGTAATGACAACATTGCGATTCTCCAGTGTACAGCCGATGCCCTCCTTGCTGAATATATAATCCCACACTGTTTTTTGAGTATCCCAGTTCAGCAGATAACCACGTTGAAAGGCCAGGATGTAAAATAACGCCGAGGTATCGCGGCATTCTTCGATTTGGTTGCCCACAAAAGCCCGGCGTCTCTCGCTTTTTGCCTTCATTATGCAATTGGGCACTACCTGGGGCTCATCCTGCGTTGCGAGTCCCACTTTGGCTGTGTACGCGCCATTGTCCAGCACAACCACAGCCATGTCGGCGTGTTTATCAACTTTTCGACAAATGTGCGACCCACCCGGCAATGTCAACAACGCAAACGCAATATCGGCAACGCAATTATGAGTTAATTAACAGTTGCGCAAGATGCCAACAGTAATGTTAACGCAGAAATGAGCGCTCTGTTAAAAGTAACATACTCTTAGCAGATGGCTGTCAGTCATTGGCGAGTACGCTGAGCTGCACATTGCGCGCGCATTAACAGGAAGTGTTTGGTCTGGTATTGTGCTGCAGCACAGTTTCTGTGTGTAATATATGTGATTTTATCAATTTGTATGTTAGCACGTTAATCTAAAAAGATTTTATTCACCACCGGCTTTTTCAAACCCTTTTTTATTTTTAAATTGTATTATTTTTGCTTACACATATTTTGAACAATTTTTCTTAGCTTGCATGATCTGTGTGCAGCATACTAGCTTATAACATATCACTTTACTAACAGACAGCTAGCAGGTAATCGTAACAGTGCGGTAACAGAAACAGCCGCTGCTAAGTGTGCAAAATGAAATGAAGATAAAAAGTTCCCATTTTTTTACGTTACGCGGTGTGCGGCGGCCAGGCGGCGCTTGTTTGCGCTTGTTCAACTTCTTTTTTTTTAAAGCATTTCGTAGCATTAACGTCTCAATGCGAATAAATGTGTGCAGTGTGGTGTAAGTGCAATGATTGCTTTAAAGCTGTGAATTTGTTTTAAAAATGCGCCAAATGCAAAACAACAGCTACAATACAAACACAACAACAACGACATCAACGAAACGCAAGTGCGTGCTGCACAACAACAACAACAACACGCACCTAGTGCCAAAATTAGCCGGCACAGTCAGCGCACTTGTTTGAGTTCTCTGCCTGCTTATCGCTTCCGCCAAAAACAAAAACGAACACAAAAAGAAAACCAAATCAAACGAAACGAAACAACAGTCAACTAAAGAGGAAGCAGCAGCTGCAACAATTGTGCGTACGAACAGCAACAACAAGATGTACACATGACAAAAGCGCCATTAAGCATCAGCATCCTATATGTACATATGCGTGTATGTATGTATGTAATTTCAATTTGCCATACGCCTGAAAGATGCGTAGACCGTCCGCGTTGAGTCGCAATCATTATTTTGTGATCGGGCTGCTGCTGGGCCTGGTGCTCAGCTGCTATATACCGCAGGACATTTGGGAGCTGGTGCAGCAGGAGGAATGCCCGCAGGAGGTTGCCGAAAATTTGCTCATCGAACGTTTTGGCCAGGACTTTGAGCCGCATTTGAATTTGATTAATAAGCCGCTGGCGGCCAAAAAGCCGGTAAGTCGTAACAAATCCAACATCCATTTCAATCGCATTCAAGCGCTCGCCCTTGCGCTCTCTTTCTCTCTATGTCTTTATTCTGCACGTGGTCCACGCGCCAATTAGAGCGTGGCAAGCGTAGAGAGTACCCAATTCGAGTCCTAAATAGAGTTGAGCGCGTGTCTTCCGTGACACGAACACGACGCGCCCTCGTTAACAAATCAAATTTCGTGCTACCACAGAAATATGAGTAATATACCAAATATCAAATAATGCAAATGTTTAAAAGTAAAGAAGCTTTTATGAAAGCCATATATTTATTATTAAAAATAATAATTATAAAATATTTATTAACTTTTAAGTCGACCGAGTACGATTACAAACCTAAGAGTTCGAAACGCTGTTGTTTATATGATAAATAATATATAAATAATAAATTGCTCAAATGTAAAAAAATGTGCTAGTCCTGCCTTTTGCAACGTGCGTCTTTCCGAAATGTTGCTTGGGTTCCTGTTGGGAAAATCGACACGTGTCTTATGTATGTATGTATATAAATATGTAAATGCGAGCGCATATGCGCGATAGCGTTTGTGTGTGTGTGTGTGTAATTGTGCACATGGCTCATTATATCAAGCAATTTATTGACCTTCTTGCTTATCGCATTCGCTTTCGTACTTCGCCTACCACCTCATTTCAGGCAGAAAACACATGCATGTATATATATATATATATATATATATGTATGTTGCATGTGTATGTGTGTGCGTCAACAACGTCAGCGCAGACGTCACTTTTCATTATTTCGGCTTCAATTGCCGTTATCACCGCCTACGTTTTTATGCGGCATTCTCTGTGCAAAGACAAGATCAACAACTTCAAAAAGCCAGCAACCACTTTGCAGTCGCTCAGTTTAAATTTGGAAAAACCCATTTCTCTTAAAATTAACACCCGGCGTGCAGCAGCAGCAGCAGCAGAAGAAGCGGCAGCGGCAGCAAGAGCCATGCAACAGTTTGACAGCCACTGAAACCCGTTTAATTATTATGCGCTGTTAATGCGTTAATGCATTCATTTCTCTCTCTCTCTCTCTCTCTCTCTCTCTCTCTCTCTCTCTCTATCTCTTTCCCTTATGTTACACGATAAGAGTTAAATTTTTTGGCAATTACAGTGAGCGCCAATTTCAGCATTGCTTGCAAAAATTGATCATTAAAAAAAAATAAAAAAGAACATGCGATCGACAAAAATTCCACTGGCGCGCGAATAAATTACATTTAAATAAATAAACGCATTTCACTTATAAACCAGAACCAAGTAAATAACCAATGGCTGATACATGCATCATGCCATAACTACATACATACATACATACATACATACATACATATGCATGAGCATGTGTAAAATTGTACAGACATTTGTATATATGTGTACTTTTACCGGCATAAATCGAACGCTGCAAAATTTATTGAATTAAAGGCGCGAGCAACATGGAAAAACCAACAAAAATCGATTAAAAATTGCTATGCTCTCATAGACAGTACATTAAATATTTGATGTAGCATGTGACCAGTGTTGTCAAGTGCATTAACAGGGCTGCCTTTACTTGTTATTGAGAAGAAAAGCTAAACTAGTTTACAATTTCCATATTTCTGGCTCTTAAAATAACCAACATTAGGCTAGAAATTAGCTGAATTGGCAAGACGGCGTGTTACGTATTTTACTCTATCATGTTTGTATGTATATACATATACATACATACATATATTCTTACATACACCAATTGGAGGTTCTGCTTTTACGTACTTCCTTTTGTTGACCTTTAAGTGGGAATGCGCGGAATCGGAACAAATATGATATAAAAAATATTCCAAGCCAATTTCGTATTAAAATCAGGTAAACATTTCATAAACATATGAACTATATAAGGGTATTTGATCTGCGGTTTGCTTAACATTTTGAATACTTCATTATTTTCTTTCGGGCCATACAATTTTTGACTTTTTGTTTGCGAGCCGTTTTTTTTTTATTATTTTTATTTAGTTAACAATGCAAACGTTTGCGTTTTAATTAAGCAACCAATGTGAAAAAAAGTAAAAAAAAGAAATGTATGAACTTGATAAAAACAAAAAATGTTGGCACGTTTTTTTGTTTTTGGAAAATCAATCATCGATAATTATGACTGAAACAATAATGCGCAATTAGTTGCAAAGATTTCTGGCACTTTTAATAAATACGATAAACAATTAAGATGCCATATATATCTTTCGATTCTATTAATTTATTTGCCGCAGATGGTTTTATTCGTTCGTTAAATGCTCTTAATTAGATATATTATTAGTAAAGATTATGAACAGTAAAATTTTACTCTATTTTATAGCTCAATCCAATATTTTTCACTTTACAAACTTTAACAGCTTAAAGAAATGGAATTGAAACATTTTTGGTGCATGTTAAAAGTTAAAAGTACATGTTAAAGGAACAAATGGAATTCGAACAAGCTTGGCATTCGGTCAGATTTCATAAAAAAGTCAGTTGAATATCAAAATAAGTCAGGCTTAGTATATATATTAGTTCAGATATGCGAATAAAATTTAACCTAAAATCTTCGATTATAACAAAACTCAAGAAAACTTCAAGAGTCACAAAAGTTCAAGCTAAAAGCAGAGTTTAGCTTCGCTTTTGTCTTTCCCTCAACTAAATATTTTTCTTTCTCTTTTTGCTCAGGCTCTATTTATTTTTATTCCCATGCCTTATTTGATTTATGCTCCACAAAAAATCAACTTTAATAGTTGCTACAATTTTCCTATACAGTGTTGTATAACACGAAAGTTGTACAGTGCGTTTCGACAATCTTTAATCTGTACAATTTTTTTTTTTGCTCTCGACTTTAACGATGATTTGCGTTTCATGTGCTCGAAAATAATGTTTATTATTTCGACTTAATGGGCCAGTGTTTGTATGTATGTGTGGGTTTATTATTATTATTTTTGTTTAATGTGCGTAAGTTACTTAGTGGACGACACGAGCGAAAGATAATATTTAAAACTTGTTCGTACAAAAAACCAAAACAAAAAAAAAAAAAGAAACAGAAGAAAAAAACTTGAGCAAAAAAGTCGTTTTCCAGTCACTTAATACAAGTAAATGACAATAACACAAGTTTACTTAACACCATGTTGTTGTTGTTGTTGTCGTGGTTGTTGTTGTTGCCTAAGCAAACATACAGCATAGGGTATGAACAGGTACATGTATATATATATATATATATATATGTGTGTGTGTGTGTGTGTGTGTGTGTACACTGACTAAGTGCTCCGCTGAAACGTTAAAAAAAAAGTCAAAGAGAAAAAAGTGAAATCACATTTGTAGTTGACTGCGCACTTTGAACCTTTGACCCCCGGCATGTTTCAGCAAACAGATCTTTCATGAACAACGGATTATCTCACAAAAACTAACGAAAAGTACACAGATCGTTTTGGTTTTCTAGCTGGGAATCGAAATATTAATAAATACTTGCCGAAATCTGGCAAATGCACGATATAATATTCCGATTTTATTCGCCTTTCGTGCAACTCAATTTTAAGGTTTAAAATATGATAGAGTTGGTTCATGTGGAAAGAGTTTCCTGATGAATTAACTAGTAGTTGTTGAGTTAAGTCAATATATATTTGAAAACGAGAAAGTAAGGATATTTTCGGCACGCCGAAAATTTAATATCCTCACTGTTTTGCGGTTATGTGAATGTAGTAAATCTTTGATGAAACTATCTTGGAAAACCCAATACTTTGCCATAGAAAAACTCACTC